CATTTTTTCGGATATAAAAATACCGTCCTGAAATTTCTTTTCTAGTGACATTTTGAGTTCATTAATGAACAAGGAAAACAGCACAGGGCTGAGGACACAACCTTGACGAACTCCACAGGATCTGTCAAAATATTCAGTTAATTTTCTACCAAAATTATAAGATACAGTGGCTTTAACATTTCTGTACATATTTGTATCTCAGTCCAAAACAGTACCGTGGATTCCGTTCTGTAAAAGAACATGCAATAATTTGTACCTGTTTACCATATCAAAGGCCTTACAAAAATCTATGAAAGCAACATATAGTTAACCGTCTTTACGAGTTATATATTTTTGAACATAGCCTGAAGAACAAAATTACTGTCAACAGTCGAGTGATCCTTTTTAAAGCCTCCTTGGTATTCACCAACTAGTTCACAAAATTCTAAATAATGTTCTAATGTTTTATTTAAAACTGTAAGCAACAATTTGCTTATGACATTTAATAAAGGAATTCCTCTAAAATTATTTGGATTACACTTACTGCCTGTCTCATGTAGTGGCAAAATGATACCAGTAGACAAAAATGTAGGGTAATATCCAGTGTGTAATATCTTATTAAAGAGTATAAATAAACATGGCACAAGGACACCTTCACCAATTTAAAAAAATTCTGCTGGGATACCATCATCACCCTGAGATTTGTATATTTCAAATTTCTTATGGCATGAAGAACATCCTGCTCGTTAAAGTCTATTGAGAGAATATCATCTTCAACACAACATCCTGCTCGTTAAAGTCTATTGAGAGAATATCATCCTCAATGCAACATTCTGCTCGTTAAAGTTTATTGAGAGAATATCATCTTCAACACAACATCCTGCTCGTTAAAGTCTATTGAGAGAATATCATTTTCAACACAACATCCTGCTGGTTAAAGTCTATTGAGAGAAAATCATCTTCAACACAACATCCTGCTCGTTAAAGTCTATTAAGAGAATATCATCTTCAACACAACATCCTGCTCGTTAAAGTCTATTGAGAGAATATCATCTTCAACACAACATCCTGCTCGTTAAAGTCTATTAAGAGAATATCATCTTCGACACAACATTCTGCTCGTTAAAGTCTACTGAGAGAATATCATCTTCAATACAACATCCTGCTGGTTAAAGTCTATTGTGAGAATATCATTTTCAACACAACATCCTGCTCATTAAAGTCTATTGAGAGAATATCATCTTCAACACAACATCCTGCTCGTTAAAGTCTATTGAGAGAATATCATCTTCAACACAACATCCTGCTCGTTAAAGTCTACTGAGAGAATATCATCTTCAACACAACATCCTGCTCGTTAAAGTCTATTAAGAGAATATCATCTTCGACAGAACATTCTGCTCGTTAAAGTCTATTGAGAGAATATCATCTTCAATACAACATCCTGCTCGTTAAAGTCTATTGAGAGAATATCATCCTTAACACAACATCCTGCTCGTTAAAGTCTATTGTGAGAATATCATATTCAATACAACATTCTGCTCGTTAAAGTCTATTGAGAGAATATCATCTTCAATACAACATTCTGCTCGTTAAAGTCTATTGAGAGAATATCATCTTCAATACAACATCCTGCTCGTTAAAGTCTATTGAGAGAATATCATCCTTAACACAACATCCTGCTCGTTAAAGTCTATTGTGAGAATATCATATTCAATACAACATTCTGCTCGTTAAAGTCTATTGAGAGAATATCATCTTCAATACAACATTCTGCTCGTTAAAGTCTATTGAGAGAATATCATCTTCAACACAACATCCTGCTCGTTAAAGTCTATTAAGAGAATATCATCTTCAACACAACATCCTGCTCGTTAAAGTCTATTAAGAGAATATCATCTTCAACACAACATTCTGCACATGTATTACAGTCATGATATTAGGATACGCTTTAGTGTCCTCTGCAAAACTGCCATCACCAGGTTGTGTAGGATTTAATAAGTTCTTGAAGTAATCAGCTATACTGAAGGGGAGATAATAGACTCAGATGAACGACTTGTGATATACTTTTTCACAAGACTTCCAAAATACTGTACAGTCACTTGAGCTTGCTGCCACATGTATAGCTTGAGTTATTGAATGTTTATAACGTTTGTTCTTGGCTCTACAGGTATATTTAAAGTTGTTTCTGCTGCACTTATAGCGGTTATAGTTCTCTTTAGTGGACTGTTTTCTAAATATATTTCAACGTCTGTTGTTTTCTCTCGTGAGAATGCGACATTGTTCATCAAGCCAGTCGGGTGGTCGTTTAACAGGGATAGATTTCGCTTGAATACATTTAATTTCACTTCCACAAGTTTGAAATATACACTGTAGAGTGTCCAATGCTTTATCAATATCAATCGTCATATGAGCGAAATATTCTCAAGCACGACGTTAAACCCAATTTCACCTCACCTATCAATATCAACATGTAACATGTCAATAAACGTATTAAATAAATCCGTTGAATCTTGTTTGTTTATCTGGTTTGTTTACGTTAACAGATGGGTGAATACCTGGTCATCAGCAGCCTTGCCATAAGGGACGACAAAGGCTTGCTCACTTGGCTGAAGATCAATGCGTATGTTGTCAATCACAAGATATTCTGGCCAAGTCTCATTTATTTACAGACCGCAGTCATAGAGCTATAATCTTGCAGAGTGTAGTGGTAAACACCAAACAAGTGTTACGCAAAGCATTAGTTGGGGATCATAGAGCGACAATGAAAACCAGCATACATGTACATGTTTCATATGGAGTGTGTCACGTTATAACATGGTTGGAATTGAGATCACAGGAATTCACTGTGCACTGCATCAAGGGATATCACTTACATGTTCTGTTAAACGCCACAGGCCGTAATGAACACATTTAGGAAAACAGCATAACCCCTTTCAATTGTATACCACAGATGCATACAAACATATGCAACCACAATATATACTACCTATCAAAAGTTTAGAGTCACTAGTGTAAATGTAGCCATTTACTTCAGTCAACTGTTCTAAACTTGATTTTGCAAAATATTCCATACTGTTTGAAGGTACTGTTTACACATGAACTGATGTATTATAAAACAAATTCGTAGCGTTGAAAATATTATTGTCATGAGTTTAATAAATGATGAAACTCAGTGAAAATTGGTGAATTCGTAACAAAACTTTACACCAAAACGCAGCTGCTCACATGCATGATATCTGCACATGCTTTTCAGCAATTTGATGCATGATCCTCGTGCAGCTCATCTGCCAAAGTTTTGCAGCTGGTTGCCCCAAGTTATGGGGAGATATTCATCTTGGATGTAACCACAACATATACATAACATATGGTGTATTGCAGAGGTTAAAACATAGTCGGGCCTTCATCTTGAACACGTTTATTGAATTATTGTCCGCAGACTCTTTACATGACGCCGCAGCGTAGGTAGAATTCAACTTGATACGGTTCAAACTGTATAAATAAAATAAACAATTATAAAAATACAGCTGAACAATTTCCACTGCTAAATCAATATCTTGACTACTCAGATAAATGCAATGTATCTGCAAATATAACGAAAATATGAAACACGAACCCACGTGCCTGACATGACAAAACTGAAATTATTCTAAACTCATATAAATTCATCAAACTTAACACGCTTTGTGACCCTATCAAACAATGTTCATCAATATAAATAATAACAATCAACTACTTACAAATTTTCTTGGCCCCTTGACCCTCTACAAAATTGAATCACCGCAGTGACACCAGCCATGTGCTTTAGTCGACCTCAGTCGCCCGGATCAAACTACCGGCCGGGACCACTTAAAATCCGGATCCTTACCGGCGGCAACATAAACAAAGCCCGGATCAGTTTACCGGTAAAAACCAAATTAATTTTTTATCCTTAACATTCCGGCCCCATAAATGTGAAGCTAATACTATTGAGCAAACATTTATCCATATCAACAGCCCAAAACAAACAGATAATATATAACTAAATAAGAATAATATCAAAAGTCTCTGAACTGTTCACCGAGTGAGTGAGTATGGTTTTAGGCAGCTTCCAGCTATATTCCTGCAATATCACTGCGGGGGGCACCACAAATGAGCTTCACACAATTAGCCATGAGGGGAATCGAACCCTGGTCTTCGGCGTGACGAGCGAACGCCCCAACCACTAGGCCACCCCACCGCCTCTCTGAATTGTTCACTGAATATCCTCAGTGTTTGATCACATATCAGACAAGTCACTCAGACACTGTTTTGAGTAGACACAGTTTATGCACTGGTCTTACATACGTCGTTCCTCTTGAAGTAAGTTCAACCGTTCTGACAAGACCATCTTTGCCAGGGAATGTTTTGATAACTCTACCCAGCGGCCACATATTACGTGGGGTGTTCTCATTCATCACGAGAACAATATCTCCAACACAAAGGTTGCAGGTCTGTTTGCGCCATTTTTGCCTCAACTGTAATGTTGGTAAGTATTCGCGCAACCAACGCTTCCAGAAAACATCTGCAAGGAACTGAATATGTTTCCATCGTCGGCGATAGACATCATGTATATGGAATTCACCTGGTGGCATTGTATGACACGACCGCAGTAAAAAGTAAATGGTTTGGAGACAGTGGCTCTGGGTCTTTTGTATTGTCTGATACAACTGTAATCGGTCTGCTGTTGACTATAGATTCCACCTCGCAGAATAATGTATGCAGACCATCATCGTGCAGACCATGGTCGCCATTCAACAGCCCATTAAGAACTTTCCTCACCGTTCTTATCTGACGTTCCCAAACGCCTCCCATATGCGATGCTGTAGGAGGATTGAACTCCCAATGAATATTCTTCTGTGTGAGGTAGTTCTGTATTTTGCTTTCATTCCATGAATTGATTGCTTCCCTCAATTCCCTGTGTGCTCCCTTGAAGTTCGAACCATTATCAGATCTGATTTTCTCAGGTTTTCCTCGTCGACTCTCAAACCGTCGTAATGCATTTATGAAAGAGTTTGTGTCCATTGATTCAGTTTCTCAATATGAATAGCTCTGGTGGTTAAGCATGTAAAGAGACACCCATACCGTTTCACTAGAGCCCGTCCTCTTTTGACTTCAAATGGCCCGAAGCAGTCCACGCCGACATAGGTAAATGGGGGGTGCCCTGCAGTAACCCTATCAGATGGAAGGTCAGCCATTCTTTGGATATTTTTCAGACCTTGAACACGCTTGCAATGTACACAGTTTCTCAGAATCTCATTTATTGTCGTACGAGCACTGATAATCCAGAACCTTTGTCTCATGTGAGATAAGACATGTTCCCTCGGAATGGCCAAGAAGCTCATGATAGTGATGTCAATCAGCCTGGCAACATGATGTGCTTTAGGGAGAATCATCTGATGCTTAGCCTGTTCTGGTATTTCGGCGTACTTGAGACGGCCTCCAGCACACACGATTCCGTGAGAGTTCATCACAGGTTCGAGTCTGTAAATTGAGCTAGTTTTCTTCACAGGGTGACCTCCTGTAAGATCATTGATCTCATCAGAGAAATGACATCTTTGAAGAAACTTCACCACCTCATACTCAGCAGTTCTGATTTCTTCAACAGTTAGTGAATTCTTTTGAACTCTTTGATCAGATTTCAGATTTCTATACCTTATCAATAGGCACTGTTTCAGTCGCAAGATCCAAGCTACAGCTCTCTTTAACTTGTACCATGAAGAGTACCGTTCCAGTAACCTGTTAGTACATCCATGTTTGACATCACCTTGAACAAAGTACACTTTGGGTCTCTTTATTTCCACATCTCTTTCTGGCAACTCAAATGCTTCTGGAATAGTCGGCCATGCAGATTCATCCAACCAGAGGAAGTCTGGCCCTTTCATCCATCTTTCTTGCGAAATCATCTCATCTGCATTAAGACCTCGGGATGCATCATCTGCAGGGTTAAGTTTGGATTCAACATAACGCCAGTCATCAGCCGTGGATCCTTCATGAATAACAGCTATCCTGTTTGCCACAAATGTATGGAAGCGGTGTGAATCACTTTTAATGTAGTGAAGAACAACCATGCTGTCTGACCAGAAGGTAGAACTACTTATCTTGAGTCTCAGTTCCTGACGTAACATTTGATCCAGTTTTACAGAAATGACTGCAGCTGAGAGTTCAAGCCTTGGGATTGTTATTTGTTTCATGGGTGCTAGCCTGGCCTTTCCCATCAATATAGCACAGTGGATTCTGCCATCAGAATTGACAATCCTCAGGTATGATACTGCTCCATATCCTTCCATGGAAGCGTCAGAGAAATGATGTAGTTCATATTTCAATAAATCGTCAGAGTCAAAGGGAGACACACAACGTGTAATTGTCAACTGTTCAATCCTTGAAAGTTTCTGAATCCATTCAATCCATTTTTCCTCATTACATTTTTCCAGTAGATCATCCCATCCTTTCTTCAGTCTGCACTCACGTTGAAAGATTTTCTTAGCTTGCAGAGTAACTGGGCATATAAATCCAAAAGGATCATAAATTGAACTGATGACACTTAATATACCTCTCCGTGTAGTTGGCTTGTTCTTTGGCATGATCAGGTATCCAAATTTGTCAGATTCAGTGTTCCAGCTAACGCCTAACGCTCGCTCCTGTGGAAGAACATTACTTCCAAGATCAACGTCCTTGAGCTCCTTTGCTCTTCTCTCTGCAGGGATGGAATCTAGTACTTCCCCGGGAGTTGCTGATCCACTTGGTAAGTTTGAAACCTCCTCTCAGGAGCAGTTCACACAACTCCTTCACGAGATGAATTGCTTTGGATACAGAGGCTACAGATTTCAAACAATCATCCACATACAGATTTTCCAAGATTGTCCTTATTGTTTCGGGGTTAAAGTCAGCTCTATGGTCCTCAGCAGTGCGTCTCACAGCAAAACTTGCACAACTTGGACTCCAAACGCCCCCAAACAGATGAACTGTCATTCGGTAGATCTCAAATTGTCTTGATACATCTCCATCAGGCCACCAAAGAAACCGCAGAGCATTGCGATGCTCTTCGGCAACTCTAACTTGGTGAAACATTGCCTCAATGTCACCCATTATGGCTATATTTTCCTGACGAAATCGAAGGAGAACACCAATTAATGTGTTGGTTAAGTCTGGTCTTTGAAGAACCTCCTCATTTAAACTTGTTCCTCCATAACTAGCAGTACAGTCAAAAAACTATCCTCAACTTGTCCGGTTTCTTCTCACTGATCACGGCATGGTGAGGGATATACTAAACAGGGCCCTCCTTGGGGTTTGTTTCTTCACGTGGAACCTTTTCAGCATATCCTTTACTGAGAAGCTCCTGTATTCCATCTCTGTATCTCTCATTACGGCTCTTATTCTTGGATAATTTCCTGCCTAGATATTCAAGTCTGACTTCTGCAACACTGTAGTTGTTGGGCATGCTTGGAAGCTCACTTCTGAAAGGTATTCGCATTTTATAATGTCCCTCTTCAACCTCCAGAGACTCCTGCCAAATATCTATAACACGCTTGTCATTAACAGACATTTGTGGTTTACTATCAAAAATGTGTTCACAAGAGTCCAACTTCCAAAATCTCTCAACTGAAGACTCCAAGCTGTGTTCTGCTTGGACAAAGTTTGATACTATCCTTCTTTGGCTACCATATTCTAATGGCCCATTCAGTGTCCAGCCAAATACTGTTCTTGTAGCATATGGCTCATTGTCTTTACCTTTCCGCACGTCAATTGGTACAAGTGCTGAAGGATTGTCTTGTCCAATCAAAAGAGTTATCCTTCCATGATCCAAGGTCGGCAGAGTTATACCTTGTAAATGAATCCACTTATCAACATCCGTTTGGCTGGCTAAACTCTCAGTCGGAACAGGTAGTTTGGGAATCACAAACACATGTGGTAGTTGCATTGAATGTCTGCCATCAAGATCTGTCACGTTTAAACTTACTAAACTGGTTTCAGATTCACAGTTTTCATTGGTCAATGTAGTAAGTGAAAGAGACGTTTTGTTCCTTTCACATCGAGTTGTTCAATCAATTCTTGTGAACAGAATGTGTTCGTGCTTCCATTATCAAGAAAAGCATACGTTTCAATGAATCCATCCTGACCATTCAACCTTATTGAAACGGGGACAATAGGCAGGGCTGTTCTGGACACGCCGGCCCCATTAACACCACCACCGACAGAATTATGCATTGAATGAGTTTGAGTTCCACATTCTTGTGTCAATGTAGACGTCTGTCCATGTGATGAACCAACACCACGTCCACCAAACTTTACCAATGTCTGTAAGCCATCGTGCAGCAATCTGGAGTGCTTGCGATTGCAACCATCAACTTGACACCGACTTGGTTTGTTACAGCTGTAAGACACATGTTGAGTTGAAAAGCAATTAAAACACATCTTATGTTCCCTCACAATGTCCAACCTTTTCTGTGGAGTCATTTCTTTGAATTTGTTACACACATATATGGCATGATTTCCCAAACAACACTTACATGCAGGCCATCCTCCAGTCCTGTACTGATTGTTTAGGTTCTTGTAAGAGCTACTACCAGCTGAGATGCCAGTGTCCTTGCTAGCTTGAACGTTAAAGCTGGACACAGCAGATTTTCCAGAGTTAGGCTTTTGGGGTTTTCCTTTTAAGTCCTTTGAAGTTAAGCTATCTGTACCAAAGACCGGATCGGTTGCTTCTTCCGCAGCTGTCTCAATAAATTCTGATAGAGCTTCAATACCAGGGTAATTGCCTTGAACTTTCAAGGTATGAACTGCTTGCTTTCTCCATCTCCCTTGAAGATACGAAGGTAATTTTCCAATTATCTTCCCCATTCTGACTTGATTGTCTATTTCATTCAGTCTACCCATGGCAGTCAAAGTGATAACACAGCTTCTAACAGAGTCTGCATATCTCCTTAATTCTGAACTGTCACCATATCGCAAGGTTGATCCTTCAGTGACCTTTTCGACCCAAGCCTTTGATATTACATATTGGTTGCCAAAACGTTCCAACAATAGTCTTTTAGCTTCAGGATATCCTACATGTGGCTCCATCACAGCACAGCATTCAATGACTCCGAGAGCTTTACCGGTGCAGTACTGGAGAAGACGAGTAAGCTTTGCACTATCACTGACATTAGTGTTCCCAATGCTGTTGTCAAATGAACGAATGAAAATCCAGTATTTCAGAGGATCCCCATCAAACTTCATAAGCTCTGTTTTGGGAAGCTGAATAACATTCAACATCTGGTGTTGCATGTAGAGCATTTTATCATCAGTTGTCATATTGTCACCTGTCACTTGACAAGGGCATCCATGATACCATGTTGACCCTGTTTCTTTACCTGCTGTTCCTGTTGATTATGTTGTGACAAGGTTGGATTATCACCCCTATCTGATAGATAAGACTTCCGGTGTGGCCACTCCTTTGCCAAAGGATCCAAACGCTTATCCTTCTTTGCCAGAACCTTTCCCTGTACCAAACCATCACGAGTTAAGCCTGTATCACGCAATACATCAGTGTTATCCCTTTTCTGTGAGACATTACTTCTCATTTCTTCATAAACTTGTTCTTCTGCTTCAGCAGCTGCTATGTCTGTCTCTATTTGAAGAGTTTCGTGTAATTGCTCCAACTCCAGCTGTTTGAACTTCAGTTCATGTTGTTTCTGTAATGCTGCTGCTCGCACACGTAAAGCAGCTTTCTTTGCAGCAGCCTTCGACCTTGAACTTACAGAAGTATGACTTCCACACGCCTGACTTGCAGAATCTTCTGGGCACACATCCTCTATATCATTTCCTGGATTACTTTGTGAAGTTAGCCTCCACACCTTAATGTCAGTCATTAACTGTTCATACCTATCTCTCACCTGAATGTAATATGTCTCGGCTTGACTATATTCAGCAGGGTCATTCATAACAAGATCTTTCAATTGCATAGTTTTCTGTACAAGCTTGGCCATTATTCCTTCAATATTGTCCTTTTCATTGTCTACTAAGTCAACCAAAACCACAGTGGCCTTTTCACGAAGTTTGTCCCTCAGGTAATTCTCCGACTTAGTATATGAAGACATTATTCCTCCCCTTTGTCTTCTTAATTGTGTAATTGTTTCTGCAATCACACGACCTTCATCAATGTCAACGCTAACGTTTTCCATTCTGGTACGAGTATTAGTACACTCTTCGATATCACTTTGGCTGTCAAACATCCTGATTCAAATGTTTATAAATCCTTGAAAAAATTTTGAACTTTATTGCAGAGGTTAAAACATAGTCGGGCCTTCATCTTGAACACGTTTATTGAATTATTGTCCGCAGACTCTTTACATGACGCCGCAGCGTAGGTAGAATTCAACTTGATACGGTTCAAACTGTATAAATAAAATAAACAATTATAAAAATACAGCTGAACAATTTCCACTGCTAAATCAATATCTTGACTACTCAGATAAATGCAATGTATCTGTAAATATAACGAAAATATGAAACACGAACCCACGTGCCTGACATGACAAAACTGAAATTATTCTAAACTCATATAAATTCATCAAACTTAACACGCTTTGTGACCCTATCAAACAATGTTCATCAATATAAATAATAACAATCAACTACTTACAAATTTTCTTGGCCCCTTGACCCTCTACAAAATTGAATCACCGCAGTGACACCAGCCATGTGCTTTAGTCGACCTCAGTCGCCCGGATCAAACTACCGGCCGGGACCACTTAAAATCCGGATCCTTACCGGCGGCAACATAAACAAAGCCCGGATCAGTTTACCGGTAAAAACCAAATTAACTTTTTATCCTTAACATGGTGAATGCTTAAATTGAGTCTAAACTTTTGATGGGTAGTATACATAGAAAACCAACATACATGTACGTTTTAACATGGTTGCATGTGAGATCACAGGAATTTGCCCTGAACTCTCTGTGGACTGTGCAACGAGGGACATCACTTACAACATAACGTCACAGTCAGTAATGAACACATTTTGGAAAACGGTGTAATCCCTTTCAGTTGGAAACAAACAACAGTGTTCGATTCAACCAATATTTGGTGTCTCTGCATTTCATTGGTGCGATATAGCGAAAAGAACATTTTGCTTCGGGAAACACTCA